CAAGTGAGACTTAGAAAATTTCCAGGCCCCTCGCCACTCTCATGGCCTGGTGTTTTCTTGATACTTGGAGAACTCTGCTCTCATGAAAGTGTCTGCTTGGGGGAGGAAATGCCTCCGCTTAGCCAGGGCTCTAGCCCAGCAGCTTGCAGAGTGGCTGCAAGGCTCCAGAAGCCTGGGCCAGGCGTGGACCCGGTCTGCTCGTTCTCCCTGGCTGGTTGGGCTTGTTTATGCCCCTCTTTCTAGAGGGATCTGAGGTGGTTCCCTAAAAATCAGTAACACAGAGAGATCCATGAATTGGATTACAAAGAGGGAGATAGCGTTAGAAAGAGGAGAAGCAAATGAGCCAGCCTCGAAGGATGGTGCCAGAAGAGGGGAGCTGGGGGACTCTGTCACACCTCTTGTCCGAGAAGGGGAAGCACACGTGTGCCTTGGGGAGACGTGTTCTGTCCCAGCACGATGCTGAGAGGAAGTTTCACGTGGGCACAACGATGAGGCCCCCGGGCTGAGCAAGGAGAGGTCCCCAGCAACCACTGATCCCCAGTGAACGCAAGGCAGGCTGGTCCTGACAGGTGGACTCCTGACGGGATCTGACGGCCAGCCTCTGAGCGGCACCTGGCGTTCCTGTTCTGGAAGGAACAGCAGTACCGATGAGCAGGTGACACACAGTGCTTTCATCTCCCGTCTTAGGTCGGTTCCTTGGAAGCAGAGCTTCAGCCGGGAATCGGGTCCCAGAGATTAGGAGGCCCTTGGGAGAAACCTGTAGGAAGTGAGGGAAGCAGACAGGCCAGGGAAGGAGCCCTCAGCCTAACCCAGGGGGGCCCAGCAGTGTGAAGAGCACCTGGGATTTGACCCCCCAGGCCTGGGTCAGCTCCGGAACCCGTTATCGGCCAGTCACTGGCTGTGGGTTGCCCCGGGAGGAAGGGGCAGGGGAGCTGTGCCAGGCGCTGGGGAACAGGCTTCCATGGGTGGGGCCCCAGCAGCCCCGCTTCGCATCCATTTTCTCGTGGGACCCTTGCAATGGCCCAGGGAGGCAGCCAGGCCAGTGACGACTGTTCATTTCCCAAATGAGGCGACTCTTGTCAGTGGAGGAGCCAGTCTTGGGCGAGTTCCTCCGACCCCAGACCCTGCGTCCTGCGCTCCTCCCCTATGCCACGCGCACCACGCACCCGAGGCCTTCCCGGTTCGAGGGTAGGATGGGGCCCAGGGAGACGGGGGTGAGGAAAACAGCCTGGGAAAGGGGGCTGCCGCTGCCTGCTCTCGGCCACGGCACCCCACAGTCTGCCTTGCCCTTGGCCCCGGGCTGGCACTTGGGGAGGGGACGGAGCTCATGGCCCAAGGCTCGGCAGGGTGGCTGGTGGTCGGCGTGCACAGAAGGACGGGGCCGAGTCCGTTAAGTTAATGTGAGGTTCCCGAGGGGGGATTTGGTTTTCAGATTGCAGCTCGAGGCAGAGGTGCCCTCAGCTGGCGAGGGGCTGCGTCCTCAGCCTCTTCACAGTGTGGGCGCTTGGGGCTGGGTGTGGACGGCGGGGGTGCATGGGAGCCGGGCCCGGCCCTCGGGGTGCTCTCACTACCGGTAGGGTCTCGTGGGCCTCTGTCTGCAATGAGGGCTGCACAGAGTTCCAGCGGGGCTGAGCCCAGGGCCTGGCCAGGGGCCTGCCACCCAGAAGGAGGGGATGGGAGCAGATATCTGCACCGAAGGGCTGTGCAGAGAAGGGGCCGTTGCTCCTGACTTGGGGAGGCTGGGTGGGTGGGCTGAGACACTGCTGCCTGTACCTGAGGCCTGGCAGTTCTGATGGAAGCAACTTGACTTTCAGGGGCTCCATTCCAAAGTCGCTCCAGACTCTAGGACTGGGGTGCTGAGCAGTGTCTCCAGCCACTAGCCTGAGGCCACACGGATGGTCCTCTCTGAGATTTGTTACCTGGGCAGGCTCGTGCCCAAGTAGGCGGCCCATCCCTGGGCCAGGGCCGGGTCTGGCATAGGGGGGACTGTCTGTCCCAAAGCAGCCATTTCACCCTGGAAAGATGTTCACACAGTGCTTTGAATTTGTTCGAAGCTTTGCAGCTTTGCCCAGACGTTTTTGAGGGCACACAGGCCTCCAGGCCTCCAGCAGGCCTGTGCAGCATTCTTGCATGGGAGCTGGGCTTTGGGGAGCGCGAGCCGCCAGGAGAGGCTGGGCGGGACCCTGCCCCCAGGGCCGCGCCCTGGATGCCAACACAGGATGGGCCCTCCTGGGATGGAGCCTGGGCAGGACACACACTGCCCCTTTGTGCAGGTCACATTCCTCCCCGGCAGGTGGGGCATGCCACCGGCTGGGACATTCAGCAGGTTTTCACTGTGGCTGAAACAGCTGAGTTTTGAGTCAACAACGTTTTCAACGTGACACTGGCTTTGTAGCCAAGGAGTAGGTGCCTTTGAGGACTGTCAGAGGGTAGGGTTCAGTGGCATCCTGGGGTTTGCTTGTGAGAACATTCACCAACCAAACCTTGCAGCTTCTTGCCCTGCTGCAAAGCAAAAAGGACCCAGTTATTCCAGACATTCAGAACGGCGGTCGCCCGGGTGCCCTTGGCCCAGCCCTTATTTGTCAGAGGTTGGAAGGTCTTGTCTGAAGCCATCAGGCCTGTGTGTGGCGGAACCCAGGACTGTAACAGCCTCTCTGACCTCAGCCCTCGCCAGGGCACACTTGGGGCAAAAGCTGCATCTCTGAAAGGTTCCCGCAAACTGGGGTCCCCAGTACCCTGCTGCTGGCTGGCTGCTGTTTAACATGACTAGTGCCCAGACACACACTGTCACGTTTGCCATGAAGTCAGGCACCCGCCTGCACCTTAGTTAACACATGTTCTTGGGGCTGAGGGCATCAGGGTCTTGGCATATGCCCTGTGACCCATTCACAGCACGTTGGGTTTACGCTGGGCGCTATTATTTGTAACGGGTCACACTGCCATTCGCGGAAATCCCTTATACACCGCTGCTTCTATAGGCCCGGGCTGAGCCATCCTCCCTCTTTCTTGTCTCTCTACCCAGTTCTCCTTTCGTCCTGGCTCAGGTCTAGGCCAGTCAGGAGAGTGGCTGGGAGGCAGAAGGGGCCCCAGGGACCCTCCCAGCGCAGGCATCTGGGGCCTCTGCCCACACACAGCGTTAGGTTTGTGTTCTGACCTGAGGACACAGAGGCTCTTGGGGGCCGTTTTGCACGAGGACCTGCCTCCGGCCCTCTGCTGTGGCAGCGGAGGGGACGTGCCCTGTGAGGCCTGGGGCCTCAGCGAGCCCCACGTGGCCCAGGAGGGGCACCGCGAGGGTCCCCAGTCTGGCTCCCACCACGACCTGGGCCAGCATCTCAGGTCTGATTGGTGGCCCAGCCCTTCTTTCCTCAATCCCAGGGCCCCCCACTCCGCCAGTACCCCAGCCTCCCTTTCTCAGTTAATCGAAGGATTCCAAGACGAGCAAACCCATCAGAGCGGTTTCCGCTGTGGCGCCGGTGGGGACGGTGAGCGCACGCACGGCAGGCCCGGACACTTCCCTCTAGAGAGAGCGCCTTTCGTTTTCCATCTGCCAAGCCTGATGCAGCAGCTTGCTCACTGTGACAGCCGGTGGTCACCTTTATTTCAAAGTGACATACGGACACTGCCGCCTGTGAAAGGACCGGGGCCCTCAGGACAGGCCTGTGACCTTGGCATTGGCAGACGTGCGGTGCTCCCCACGCCCCCAAGTCCCCAGCGTGTGCAGGGAGGAAGCCAGAGCCCAGACTCCCTCCAGCTGCCTTCGACACACGTCTCTCCTGTCTCGTCCCGAGAAGGCACAGCATTGCTGCTGGTCCTGTTGGGGACCGGTGGGGCTGGGCCATGGGCACCCTCGTCTGCATAGCTCTCCGTCCTGACTCTGTGCTCAGCCGGGAGAGCTGGTGTGTAGCTGAACCCGTCGGTGCGCAGTGCCGGGCCTGCCCCCTTTTGTGAGTGGGTGGCCCCAAGCACCCTTGGGCCGTGTTCAAGCTCTGCCCGCCACGGGCAGGCCCTAGGCTGCCTCCTCCAGGCTGGCCCCTTGCAGAGGTAGAGCCTACGGGTGCGGAGCCCTGGGCAGCCACATTCTCTCACGGGGGCCTCAAAGGGCCCTGTGGGACAGGCAGGGACCATCACTCACCTCTTACAGATGAGGCAGCCGAGGCCTAGGGAGGCTGAGGGGTGTCTCCGCGGCCCCCAGCTGTGAGCCCGGCCCCTTCCCCAGCAGGGCTACAGCATCCGTCACCTGAGTGCCTGTTGAGGGCACAGGAGCCCAGGGCTCACGTGGAAACCGGCCCCCTGGGTGGCTGTGATGTGCACCACGTGGACGTCAAGCCAACCCTCCTGGCCCATGTCCCCTCCTATCACGGCGACAGGGTGGCATGGGCACCGTGCCCCCTTTGTGCAGCAGTGCGGCCTGGCGGTGTTTCCGTTTGCATCAGTAAATCCACTCCTGCCGTGTTTTTCTAATGGCTAAAGAGGCTTCCCTTGTCTGAAAAGACATGCTTTATGGAACCCTTATCGCAGGGAATCTGGGTCACTTCTTTTCAATTTAACAGCGTGACGAAGAACGTTCATGTCACTGAATTTCTGCATGCGTCCGGATTGTTTCCTTCAGATAGAAATTCTAGAAGTGAAATTGCCTGATGAAGTTTCAGATCCGTTTTCAGGAAGGTTGTGTGTGAAGGGCTCTGGGCGTGCCCCTGCCCCCCCACAGTGCCCCCAGAACTGGGTGTTGGCAAGCTCGTCCTCTGCCAATTTGCAGGTGAATAACTGCACCTCGCGTTTTCTTTATTAACATGGTGTTCACCGGCCAGGGGTATTTCTTCATACATTATCCTTGTCCTTGTCCAGGTTGGGGAAGAGGCCGGGACTTGGGTGGTCTTCCGCTGCCCGGCGGGCCCACCAGCAGATAGCCCCAGGGGCCTGGGCCTGGCTGGCTGGGGCGTGCGGGCCTTCGGTTCCAGGAACGTGACCCTGAGTGACGTGTGTGTCTGTCTCCCCCACAGAACTGTCAGACCTTCAGCAGCCTCAGCTGCCTGAGTGCAGGGACGGAGGACCGCGGCCCTCACAGCCCCTTCGCCCTCCACGTCAGCAGCACCAGGTCCTGGACCGCCTTGCTCTCGGCCTCCGGCACGGGGGGCAGGACCCCCGCCGGGACCCCGATCCCCGAGCCTCTGCCCCCGTCCCTGGACGACCACCCCGCCTGCCAGGAGGAGCCGTGCTGCGAGGAGGCGGGTGGCTGCGCCCTCGGCGAGGGCTGTGGTGGGCGTGGGGAGCCGGGCACGGCCTGGCGGGACCGCGGGGCTGTCCGCAACAGCCCCTGCTCCCTGGACGGCGAGCTGGACATTGAGCAGATAGAGAACAACTGAGAGGCCCCGGCTGGCGGCGGGGCGGGCAGGGCAGGGGGTGCGCTAGAATCCATAGGCCTCCCGCCACCTCTCCCCCGACCCCTCTCCCGCCGGGCGCCGGGCAGGGCCCCCAGGGGAGCCCCACGCCTGGGCCTGATCAGCGCTTCCTGAACGGTCTCGGGGCCCAGGAGCGAGCCCACCACCTCCCCAGACGCCGTCCCGCCCTCGGGGTCCTGGCCCAGCACCAGCCGCCAGGCCGGGCCTGCGGTGCAGGGTCTCAGCCTTTCACCAGCACCGCACCCACGCTCCGTGGAGCTACCACGGCCGGGAGAGAAGCTTCTTGGTTTCGGTCTCCTTCCCCCTCTTTCCCGTGGGATGTCGGCACAAGCGTCCCACCGTCCCCGCTGGGCAGTCCCGTGGCGCTGCGGCAGGGCTGGCCCGCTCTACGTGCTGACCCCCGGCCCGGGCTTCTGCCCGGGCTCGGGTCCCTCTGCTGGGGTCACGGCCCTTCTCGGCCTCCTGCTCAGGTTCGGGGGGGGGGGGGGGGGAGTCGGCCCACAGCGGCCTCCCTCCCTCAGTCGTGTTCCGTGCCTTCTCTCCCAGGTCTCCCACTTGGGGCCTGGGCGGGGTCGGGAGAGGCTTCCTTCCGTGGTGACACCAGAACCGTTTAGCCTTAATGCCAAGTGCGGGGCACAGCAGCCCTGGGCTGCCGGGCGGCCTCCACATCTGGACTCTCAGGGTCCAGGGAACAACTCGGGGCGCTCGTTAGAGGCCGTCTAGTTGAGGAGACATTTGGTGGCTCTGTTGGCCGCAAAGGCAGAGCCACGAGCCCCTCCTGCGGCGTGGACGGCCTGGCCCCGGGCTTCCTGCTGCTCTGGGGGCTGCTCTGGCAGGGTCGGCAGTTAGCAGCCATTCTCCGTGACCAGCCTGTCATGGAGTGTCAGGCGAGTGGAGCGATGTCACCATAGAAGGGCGACCTCTTGAAAACGTCCTCAGGAAGCAGGACTTCTGTGCAGGCGCACAGCCCCAGGCCCTGCGCTCGTTTCGGGACGGAGGACGTCTGCTGGCCGCTCTGGGGCCCCGCAGCCTTCACGCGCAGGCTCGTTGTCGGTGGGCCAGGTGGGCCAGGGAGCAGAGGGTGGCGAGTGCCTCTCCCCGCCGCAGGCATAGAGCGAGATGCGCGCGTACCCTCCCTGGCTCCGGCCCCCCCCCCCCCCCCCCCCCCCCCCCGGGGTTGCCGAGGAGCCCCACCCCGCAACGTCTCCCTCCCAGACAGCTCCTCTCCAGCCCCGCTTGCACACATGCCACCTGGGCTCTGCTGCCCTGGAATCTGGCTTTTAGCAGCTTGGCGCCTTCCTCAGACGATAGCAGTTGGGTCGGCTTGTGAGCGAGTGGGTCTTTTTCCCGTGAGGCTAAACACATCTGTGCGTTCTCTGGAGCTCGCTGCCGCGACAGAGGCTCTCGCGGAGTCACTTTGCCCCTGCTCATCTGTTCACGGCGGATGCCTCACCGCTGCAGGTCGAGTACAAGTGGCTCTCGCTTTCTTTCCACTGAGGAGACAGACAATATTTGGGAAACTTTACTTAAACCTTTACTTTTTTACATCAAAAGCGAGGGGGCTCAAGTTCTCACTTATACTTGGCTTTTCTTAAAAGTCAGCCATAAGATGCTTGCAGAAAACCCCAACTCCGTGGTCCCCCAAGATTGTGCCAAAAGCCTCAGGTTGTAGAGCGTTAACGGGTGTGTGGGCGCTGGGCAGGTCCCTCCAAAGGCACGTTCCCCTGGGGAGTCGGACGAGGCAGCCGGCGGCTCTGGGTGGGGAAGGACGTCTCACCTGATCCCTGCTTGGTGGCTCGTCGTCTTAGAGCTGATCCAGAGGAGGCTGGGGCAGCTGTTCGGTGGCGTCCAGCGACCAACGTATGAATTCAGAGAGTACATGCTGGCGCCTCTCGGCCTCAGAAAGCCTGGGGTGGGAGGTGTTGACACCTGGCCCGCACCAAGAGTGGCCATAGAGGGCGCATGCAGGACAGCAGTCCTTCCTGGGGAAGGACAAGCAGGATCCCGCCTCCCTCACCCACGGAGAGGGGCGAGACTCAGCCAGGATGGGCCTCTCCTCGGGGCCGGGAGGGAGGGCACATGGCGGTGGGTGGGTGTCACGGGCCTGTGGCACAGGTGACGCCCTTGGACCCTGCCGGTCACCTCCCCCCTTCCCAGGCCTGGTGGCAGGGAAGGACAAGCAGTGGCCCCATCGTCCCCACCTCCCCGCAGGCTGGTCCTGTCAACCCAAAAGGCAGAAGGGATCCCAGCCCAAGGCAGGGTTTGGCCCTTTCCAGCCACCTCAGGCCTCTCTTGGCTGTTCTGCCCCAACCGAAGCTCCTCGCCAAAGCCCACGACAGCAGCAGGGAGGGGAGAGGATGGCCAGTGACCCCTCTCAGAGAAAGAGACGGCCTTCCGGTGGCTTCATGTCGGTCTTAATTGAAGGCAGCAGACCTCATCTAGAAGGTGCTGCCACGCTGCCAGGGGCCATCTGTGCTCTGCTCCTCTGGCACCGGGAATTTGGTCTTGGAGGGAGGCTGCCTCTGACCCCAGCGGGCTGCCCCTGGGGGGCAGCAGGCGGCCTGGTGGGCTCCCCGCAAGCCTCACTTCTGCTGGGGCCCTGCCTCTTGCAGCCCATGAACTCCTGCCTCTGAGGAAGTTCAGAGCCGGGAGGGAGGGCCGTGCCAGGCCGTCCGCCGGCCCCGGGGGCCCTGAAGGACTAGAATGGGGTCGTGGGCGGGGGGGGGGGGCTTCCTGTCCCGGGGCATCCCTGCTCACTCCAGAGGGAGCGCCTGCTAGAGCCGCTGGACTAACGGGCTGCTGCCTGTGAGGGCCGGGCCGGGCCAGGGGCCGGGGCCACAGCCTCGCCGTTTACATTACCGCAAACCCTCTTGCCTTACGGTGGAGGCCGGGGTCCAGCCCAGGGCCCACAGGCAGACACGACATCCAGGCCACAGGAGAGCTTGTTCTGATCATGCATATGAATTTTCATTCTCAGAAAGCCTTACTTTTCAGCAAAATTTTTGTAGCAGGAAAGTCTTGTGAATTTGTACGCGGAAAGAAAATTTAAATAAAGGAGAAGTCCACCTTAGAAAAAAAACAAACCCAACATCCAAATGGGTCTCCAGGCAGGGTTGGCGTGTTCGTTTCCGCGCTCCGGCTGGCACTGCCGGGGGCCTCAGCGCAAGCCCTGGGTGCCCCACGGCGGGCTCAAGTCACGTGTGCTCTGGCCTCGGGGCCGGTCACCCGAACGATGACCGCTTCAGGCTCCGCGGCCTGGGGCGCGAGCGGTAACCCCCCCACCCCGGCGCTGGGGCGGCAGCCCGGCCAGGGCGGTGCCTCCGCGTAGGCAGTTGTGCCGCGTCTTGCCACGGCCACACAGTTGGCCAGACCCCTCCCATTGGTGCCAGAAGAAACCATTCCTCTTGAAAGAGAAAAGAAGAGAAAAAGATGAAAAAAAAAAAAAAAATCCCAGACCGCAGTGGAGATCTTGTAGCCTAGGTAGGATAGTCTGACCTTCTAGCATAGTCTCTTTGGCAAAGAAATTGTGTTTCAGTGCGGGGGTGGGCGATGCCCCGGGGCGCGGGGACGGTGAGTCGGCGGTTTCTGGGGCCGTGTGCGCTTTCCCAGCTGTACCTCGTGGGCACTGGGGAGCCTCAGGAAGTGTGGCGGCCAGGACGGGCAGTGTTGGGCCAGGCCCCTGCCCGGGGCGAAGCGCTGGGTGCAGAGGCGCTGGGTCTGTCCCCCACCTCCACCCACCGCAGCCTGTCCTCCGCACGGGCCGCGACTGTCTTGCACTAGAGCCGCTCTAGTCTCTCAGGAATTTGCTTGTTACTTTTACTGTGTAAATAAAGCTTCCTGGTTCAATACCCAGCTGCTGGGAGCCGGCTGTGTGCTTTCTGTTGGGTGTGGCAGATCGGAGGGTCCCCCCTCTGCCTATGGGACCCTTCGCTCTGGACAGGCACGGGCAGAGCCTGGGCCCTTCTATCCCCTCCGAGCCTCAGGGTCAGGTCTGTAAGACGGGGAGAGTGGACATCTCAGAGCTGTCGAGAGGCTCAGGTGCAGGAGGCTGTGAGCGACCACGATGGGGGTGCTGGCCACTGCCACGGCTGTGATCCCGGGGGCCCCCAGCACCGGGACAGTTAGTACCTGTGTGTTCCGGATGGAGATGCCTGACATGCAAGGCCACGCAGCAGTTGCTCCAGGATGCACTGCTGCAGGGCGCCTGGCCTGGAGCCCTGTGGGCCTGCGGGGCCCCTGCCCACCAGGGTCACCAGGGAGGGGGCGCAGGCTGGGACCCCACGCTCCTCGGAGGGCAGCACGGCTCAGATCTGTGCTGCTCGGGCCGAGGGGTCGCTGCCACTCACAGCTCAGCTCAGAGTGGGCTCCAGGGCGCACGGTCCCTGTGCCTGGCCCTCAAGTCAGGGACCCCTCGCTAACCAAGCTCAGGAGACCAGGATGTTTGCAGCCTCAGCGACAGGCTTAGGGAGGCTTCTGTCATTTCTATAACCCAAGGTTGGCCCACGTCATCTGACCGCAGAGGTTCTGCCTGGAGATCTATTAGGTCCTGAGGGGATGCCCCCCTGGGAACGAGAGACAGGAGCACCCCGTCCAGACTGTTCTTGTTTTCTCTTTAGCAGCCGTTCCTTTTTCAAACGAAATGGTCCATGAACGTCTAGTTTACGAAGCAGGTGAAGCAAGGCTGCTGTGGCAGAGGCTGGGGGTGTGAGGTGCAGCCTTGCAGCCCCAAAGCCCAGGGGCCCCGGCACCCAGCCTCGCGTCCCCCATGACTGGCAGGGGAGGCTTCCACAGAGTGGCCCCGGATGGACCTACAGCCCTAATAGCTCCTTACCTGCCCCACTCAGGTGACAACCCTGGCTGTGCTCGGGTCTGGATCTGGGGCTGGCGCCGGCCCTTCTGTCAGGGCATGGCCCGGGTGGAGCATTATCTCCCTGGCTCAGCTCACCCAGTGGTGCCTCCCCTGTGGCAGGGGGAGGACACCGTCTTGGGCACAGGCTCTGGGGCTCACTGGGCAACAGCTCAAATGCCCTGCCGTTGGGTCCAGCTGCAGGTCTCTGGGCCTGGCCCCGCTGTGGACCACCTGCAGCTGACACGGGCCACCAGGAAATACGCTGACTCCAGGCAGCCTCCTCATATGCAGACAGGGCTTGTAACACTCTCGGGGCTTAAATGAGAGAATCAACACCAAAAACCCCCAGTACCACACTAGACAGACAGTCCAATCCAGACTGTGTTAAAACATTCATCTCCATGTGGAAAGAGGGGTGAAAGGAAATGCATCCAGATATTAACAGTGGTCAGGCTCTGAGTGACCCGTGTGGCTCCTTTGTAAATTTTCTGTTCATGTTCCTATAGTAACACATTGCTTTTAAAATCTTATTTTAAAAAAATCAGAACTTAAGAAAAAATGAGATGATACAAAGTGTTCAGTTTGTTTCTCATCTAAAGCGGGACAGTTCTGAGCGGGAAGGCGGGACCTAGTGGATACTCAGGCTGGGTGGAGGTGGCACCGTGAGCGCCCAGCAGGCACCCACGTGTGTCCCTCCCAGCGTCCCCACCCCTGTGCCCCTTCCTCCTGCCGCTGCCCGCCCGCTCCCCTGAGAGGTGCAGGTGTGGCCCAGCGTGTAGGCCAGGGCTTTGCAGGGACCTCGTTCACCTGATCTGAGGAGGAGAGAGGCGCCACAGCTGTCTGGGCCCCATGGTGGGCACACACCTGCCGGCGAGGACTTGGACCCCTCAGCCTGGCTCCCAGCTCCCTGCAGGGCAGCGAGAGGATGGTGTGGATGCCCTCCTGGTGCCACGCCCCTCTCCTCTCCCGTGCGAATTTGGCTGGAGCCGCCATTGCCCTGCCCCAGGGTCAGCCTGGGACTTTCTTGGGACCCGGATCCAGCCAGGCCTGGATTTGGAAGCCTCGTAGATGATAAACTCCTGCTGGATTAACCCAGTTTGAATCGGGTTTTCACGCAGGGCTGGTACCATGTGGACGCTTGAGTTGGGAGATCTGGGGGTAGGTGAGGCCCTTGTGCCCCCGTCCTGCCCTCTCCTTTGCCCCACCCGTCCCTCCCCCTTCCAGCAGCTCTGCTGGGTGGCCCCAGAGCCTGGAGTGTCTGCTGGCCCTGTGGCAGATCTGGGGCGCATCTCCTGACCACACACAGGTCCTCAGGCCACTGCCAGCTCTGAACTCCAGCCCCACCTGTGGCCTGTGGCTCCGTCTATCTCTGGCCTGAGAACTGTCCTGCTTGGGGGTGGGGAAGGAGGGTGGGCATCAGGCCAGGGCCCGACAGCTGGAAGGACCCAGGGGTGAGGCAGGTCATCCTCACTTCTAGGCAGCCCCCGGCGCCGCAGCAGGAGAGGGGTCAGCATCCCCAGTGGGGCGACGGGGCACCCTGGCCTGGCTGGGCCTGGTCCCCGGCAGGGCTCAGGGAAGGATGAGATAGCTGAGGCTCGGGGGTACATGGCGCCCCCAGAGTAGGGCTGGACCTCAATCCCGAGGCACGTTTCATCTCCACTGGGAGGATGCCAAGGTGGAGCGAGGATGCTCCTCGCCTGGAAAGACAGCCACCGGGGCCACCGCAGGTCATCCCCTGTGGAGGGATCGTGGAAGGGACTAGAAAGGGCATGGAATGCAGGGTCAGACCTTGATTTGAGCCTCGGCTCTATCCTTGCCAGCTGTCAGCCCGTAGGCAAGTCAGTTTCTCTGCACCTCAGTTTCCTTATCTGTAAAATGGGGAGATGACAGTGTCCACTTCACAGAACCCACAGCTCGGGGGGGGGGGCAGCGTGTTCTCCACCCAAAGCAGGGGTCTGCGCCTGCTGCCCCTCTGAGTCCCTCTCCGTCCTCACTCCCGGGCAGCAGCTCGCAAGGGGAGGCTCCACTTGTCCATGGAGAGCGGGACCCCCCCCCCAGCCTCCTTCCTCCAGAACCATACTGCTCTGCCTGCAAGCCCCTGCTGAGGACAGCAGGCAAGGGCAGCCCACGAAAAAGGAAAGAAAGAAAAGAGGGAACAAACCCAACAGAAGGCTGCAGGCCCGTCCCCGCACAGTCGCCTTCCGAGCCCCGGTGCCTGCTGCCCACACTGCGCTGGTCACCTAACGAGCTGGAATTAGGGGACTCCGTCCAGGAGCAGGCCATCTGCATATTTGCCAGCTAACAGGCCAAACGCCCCTCCTCCCCTGCAAGCCAATGACCCGAGCCTGGCCGGTGGCCTCTCATCTTGATGAAGAGACTCAGCCACCACCATTTCTTCCTAATCCTGATTTAATGGTGGCCGGCCTGGCGGGCAAGGCCTGGGGAACCGCACAGACCCCCGCCGGCCCTGGGCTCCCGTGCTGGGGACTCAGGTTCAGGGCGAAGCGTTCTATCACCACCTGCCTTCGTTTAATGGAAATCCTGTTACGGAAGACTCACGACTTCTTTCATGAGGGGTCTCCCAAGATTTGTCAGTGGGTTCTGGATGGATGTGGGGAGAAACAGAGCATTCAAGTTATCTGTTCTGCTGATTGATGCTGAAACTTGGACCGTGAGTGAATCTGGGAAGCCCGCGGCTCACTGCCCGCCACCTCGGGCTGCTGCGTGAGGGAAGGCCCACGCTTGCCCTGTGCACCTGGTCCCCGTGGGGCCTCAGTTTCCCCCTCTGTTAAACAAAGGGTTTGAGGCAGGCGAGGTGTCTCAGGGCCCTGGCCCCCTGACATGCAGGGGCTCAAGTCCAGGGCAGGATCAGGGACGGTGCCTCCTCCCTGCCGCCCGCCCCGCGCAGTCAGAGCCGGAGTCGCCGCGGGTCAGGGCAGACAGTTGATTTAACCGTTAGTTTCCTGGGTGTGACACATTCAAGTCTATCGACTTAAGGCTCCAGAAGGTATCCTCCACCTGCCACCTGGATTCCAGAGCTCACAATTCTCGCTCTGAAGGACGGCAGTCTTTAAAGTGCCCCTGGGAGCCGCTCCATTTGGGTTCCAGAGGTGACTTGGGATAGGAAAGGCGGGCTGCATTGTTTGGGGGGTTCGTGGGGAGTGCTGAGCGGTCCCTCTGACACCAGGTGAGGGCAGGGGCCGCTGGGCAGTCCCGGGGAGGCTGGCTCGGCTCTGGCCGCAAGGACTCTGCTTGGGAGTCCCCGCTTTCTCCAGGCGCCTCCCCAAAACTCAAGTGCTGTTTGAAAAGAGGCAGTGGGCAAACGCCCGAGTCCAATTCGGTAGCGCATTGAAGGGACTGGCCGACTGGAGAGAGAATGGGTTTGGGGATTCGACAGATGTGCCCCACCTCTTGACTTCTACTAGGGAAGCACAGGCCGGGGATGGGCCAGCAGGTGGGGATCAAACTTCACCTAGGAGGCTGGGAGATGTGACCGGAGAGGAGGAGGGAAGGGGGGTCGGCAGAGGGAGACAGACAGAGGAGGGGCTGGTGGCTCAGGGGCAGGGCAGCCCGGAACTGCCTGGCTGGCACCCTCTCGTTTGCCCGTCCAGGCCAGGGGGCAGTGCCTCGGATGGTGTGGGCACAGGGGAGGGCGGCAGGAGGCTAGGGGCCCTCCCAGAAGGCCTGTCACTTGTCCGCGTGCTGCAGCAGCAGGTCCACAGCCTCCGCCAGGTTGTCCACGTACCCATCAGCCTTTACTTCCGGGTGGTGCTCGTCACTGGGCCTGCAGAGAGCAGGACCGTAGGTTAGTGGATCAGTAACCCCAAGGTGACCCCTGCGAAGCCACTGCCTCCCAGCATCTGGCACGGGCCTGGCCTTGCCCTCGGGAGACCTGCAGGCCCTTCTGTGCCCCATCGGGCAGGCTGGTCTTGGCCAACAGCTGTCCCTGTCCTCCCCACGCCCCAGGCCTGGCCGCCGCAACTCAAGAGCACACACACGTCCCTCCTGTCGGTCCACCTAGACTCCTCCCTGTGTCCCTCCCGTTGGAAGCTTGCTCAGAGCCCCGTGGTGGTGACCCCTGGCCCCTGCTCCGTCCGTGCTGCCAGCAGAAGGGTCACACCTCTGAGAGCGGGGCCCTGAGTTCGGTCCTTCTCTGAGTTTCCTGCCCAAACCCCAGGGGGCTCATGTACCATCTGCTCAGCGCCCGCAGAGGCTGCTCCCACCCAGCAGAGGAAGGCTCCTGGCAAACCTGCTCTCTGGCTGAGACCTGGGGGGCTAGAAGCTCCCAAAGGCTTCATCCAGGCCCTGCTGTATTCCCTGAGGTCCTGCTCGATGCTGAGGACAAGGGGAACGAGACCACACGGCGCGCGTGGGGGCCTGTGGGGTCCGTGCAGCACCAAGGGGACCCCGTGTGGGTGCTCCATGGTGGGGGCTGCAGGCTGGGCTCCAGGCCACGTCCCCCAGAGTCTTGACAATTGCGGGAGGAAATGGGACCTCATCTCGGGGGCTGGGGGCAGCCTGGAGGGCTGTGAACCGGAGCGTGGGGTCCTGGCGACAGGAAGGGCCGTCCCACTGCTCGCGGGCTGGAGCTCGGCGGGGGTAGGGGCCACTCCGACTACCCCAAGGTCTGACCCAAGCGCCCTGGGAAAGCACACGGCGCCCTCCCGGCACCGGGCCCTCACCTCGGAAGCCCCCACCCTGGCCTGGAAGGAAGTGGTTGAAGTCGGCTCTGACACCATCATTAAAGTCAAGTTGCCCCTTTGAAGGGTTTGGCATCTATGAAGCACGTGACCCTAAAATGCTGTCCTGGGCAACGGCACCTTTCCTTTTAAAGAGCTTTCAGCCCAGGAGCCTAGAGGCCCCCTCCCCAGGGGCTGCTGAGGCCTGGGACCTGGGCAGGGGTGCAGGGGGAGGGAAGTGCGGACACTCCTTATGACTGAGGAGGGCCCACCTTTGACTCTGCGCGGTCCCCCTTCCTGCTGTAGTCCTCAGGTATGGCCCTCCCACGTCTCCCATCATTTTCTCCTTCCATCCTCGGGGAAGAGGCAGGTGCCCCCCTCTGACAGGTGAGGAAATGGGGGCTCAGCGAGGTTCAGAGACTTGCTCGAGGCCATGCCGCAGGGGGAGCAGAGCCGGGCATCTGACCCGGTTCCTCTGATTCCCAGCAGTACTCTGGGTGCCAGAGCCTCCGAGGGCATGCGCTGCCACTGGGCACTCCCACCCCCTCCAGGAAGGTCACAGTGGGCAGCGCCCACTCCACGTAGAGGCCACCTACAGATGCCAGGGCCGGCAGGCATCGCTCCTCTGGTCTTCTCGAGCGGGGCCACCCTGCGGCTCAGGGATCGATCGACACACTCACAGACAGGTGCCGCGGAGGGCACACGACTCCCCCAGAGGTGAGGCCCCAAACGTGAGCCCTGGGGACAAGACAAGGGGGCGAGTGCACAGGGACCCTCACCACCACCCACAGGATCAGCAGCTCTCTCGTGGCAGTGGAGGTATTTTAAGGGATCATTACTTCGTTCTTGCCAGATCCAGACAGTCTATAGTGAACGTGGGGATTAAGATCCACGTTGTTCTGCATCGGTGCTGAAACACTCACTTGTTGACAGCGGGAGGCTGTGTGTGGCACACACTCTGGAAAACCATGTGGGGACCTACTTGTGACACACAATTCCACCCCTAGGTATGCAACACAGCAAAAGCGCATCGACATGTTCACCAAAGACACGTACTAGAACGTTCCGAGCAGCTTCGGTCGCAATAGCAAAAAGGCAGACACTGCACAAATATCCATCAGCGGGAGAACAGAGGGACAGAGGGTGGTACGTGCACACGTCAGAGCAGCACGGGACAGCACCACCTGCCACACGCTGTAGCGTCTCCCCACCCCCCCCACAGACGTCACGACGGGCGGGAGAACCAGGCGCGAAGAACCCAAACCAGACCACCTGTTTGTATCAGGTTCGGGAACGGGTACGACCAGCCTCCCGTGCAGAGGCCAGAAGATGGTTCCTTCCTGGGGGAACGGGGTGGGGGTGCTGGCAGTGTTCTAGATCTTGACCTGGGTGGTGATTACAGGGGTGGCACATGGCGGAAAATGCATCACATTTTTCATTTTCAGTGCACTTTATATGCACATAAACATGCATATGTAACATACACTTGAGGTATATGTTACACCTCGAAAATTTAATTAAAAAGGTCGCATATAATCTCACATATATAAGGTGTCTATCTCCCGTCACTGCGGCTATTCTCTATGGCCTATGGGTCACATTCCTCCGGCAGCCTGTTTCCGTACAACCCTTGAGCTAAGAATGGTTTTCGTATTTTTAAAACTTTGTAAAAAGAAGAAAACGTGCGACAGAGACCACAGGCGGCCTGCGAGCCTCAACCAGCTGCCTCTTGGGCCTCTGCAGCAAAGGCTTGGGGAGCCCTGGTCCCGGCTGTCCACCCTCCGTGGACCCCTTCCTTTCGGTCCTCCCCGCGGCGGGCGCTCACGGCCTCCCGGCCACCCAGGTGCTCTGTGGACAGCCCTTCCTGCGGGAGGGTCTTCCTCCTTGGGAACCCAGGCCTTCCTGGTGTGCAGACAACTCCTCCCCTGTACAGACTGAGGGGTGCCCCCTCCCTCAGGTCTTTCCGAAGCAGGTGGGGGAGGGGATAATTCTCTGGGCGGCTCCACCTGAGAGGGGCCGGCCTGGCCCAGGGCACAGCAAGCTGGGCTGGCAGGTGGGCAGGAGGCGCCCTCTGAGAAATGGAGACGGAGCACCTGAATGGGCAAACCATCTCTCTGCCTCAGTTTGCTCATCTGTGCCCTGAGCGTAACAGGCTCCACCCCTCACCCACCTGGTGACCTTGGGTGAGCACGCACACCTCCATGCCGCGGCGTCCCTGTCTCTAGATGAAGGTAACCCCGGGAGAAGCGCGGGAGACACGCGAGGCTGGAGGGGCCCCGCAGGCCTCGTGCGGGCGTTCAGCACGGTGATCACAACCAGTGAGGACGCAGTCAACGCAGTCAGCCGTCGGGAGGGCACTGTGTGCCGGGCAGGGAGACTGGCCAGGACCCGGCCTTGGGCCCTGCCCTGGGCACACAGGCTGCTGGGGGGACAGACAGAGGGACACGCGGATCCACATCAGCATCCGAGGCGCAGGGAGGACAGTGAGTTTGGTGGGTGGGGGGTGGGGTGGACGAGTGTAACCACAGGCATTGCCAGCAGGAGGGGCAGGGAGGCCGGGACCCTAGGGGACGTCCCAGTGGCGGTACCAGCGCCCTGGCCCCCTGGCCTGTGGTCTTGCCTCGTGCTGGCCTGTGTGCGTGAGGTTGCAGCCCTGCATGGCCCGGGATGCGCCCTTATGGGTCTCCCTCAGCTGCCCCTGGGGCTGGAGGGCAGCCCCGAGGCCCGGCTCCCCGACGGGGCAGTGCCCCAGCCACCACTCAGGAGGGGGTTGTCAGGGGAGGGGGACATCTTCAGGCTGCACTTTCCCAGGCGCTGACACCCCTTGTCCCCGCTCTGTGCCCCCTCCCACCAGTTCCCATCAGATTCCTGACTTTTCTCTCCTGGACAGTGAGGCCAGTGGCTGCTCAAAGAACCGGAACTTCTCCCAGCAAACGCCCCCCCCCCAACCCCGATTCGTCATCCGCGTCATCCCCCGGGGCGGCTGGCCCAGGACTGTCCTCCTCCGACCTTCACTGGCCCTTGGGCCAGGTTTACTGTCCAGTCAAACGAACTCCACCCCAAGAGGGAAGAAAAAATCCACCCATAAAATATGCTTCATAGGGCTTCCCTGGTGGCACAAGTGGTTGGGAGTGCGCCTGCCGATGCAGGGGACACGGGTTCGTGCCCCGGTCCAGGAGGATCCCACATGCCGTGGAGCGGCTGGGCCCGTGAGCCATGGCCGCTGAGCCTGCGCGTCCGGAGCCTGTGCTCTGCAACAGGAGAGGCCACAACAGTGAGAGGCCCGCGTACAGCAAGAAAAAAGAAAAAGAAAAAGAAGATGCCTCATAATGAGATTCAAGGCGGCCCCAGCGTACGGTACCAAGCCGAATGGGTACGTGGCTAATTACGTTTAATTACATATCATTTAAATTCAAGAATCCATTAAAAGAAAGGATTGCATTAGCAGCCGGCCGCTGTTTGCCAACAGAGGAAATCGTGGACTTCCATGTCTTAATTACGTGATGCTGCTGTGGGCTGTGGCTCTCAGGGAGCCGGGGTACATGGAGGGGACTCATCCTGGGCCCGCCCCCCTCGAAGCCCCCGAGACAGCTATGCATGGCCTAACTGGGCAGGAGAGGCCTCTACTGCACGCTGGCCAGTGACCTGCAACCCACGGGGCCTCAAAGATGTCACACTATAAAAGCTGAACCAAGAAACCCAGCAAAGACATGCCCTTTGGCAGTGGGAACAGAAACAGAGGGTAATGGACAAAGGGGCCAAGAGACGCCCCTGGCTTTGAGCAGGCCCTGCCAGGACAGGGCTGCACGCGTGGGGAAGGAAGGGGAGAGGCGGGCACAGCTGGGCCAGGAGGGCTGAGACGGGAGCGGGGAAGAGACAGGCAGACAGAGGACACAGAGAGACACACACACTCAGGAAGAGAGACGGAGGGAGGGAGGGAAGAGAGAGGGTCAGACAGGCAGACAGAGGGGGAGAAAACAGAGCAGCAGAGGAAAGAAGGTGGGAGAGCAGGGGGCAGAGAGACACACGGAGGGAGAGGAGCAGAGAGAGGGATGGAGGGAAGGAAGCGAGATAGAGAAACAGAAAGTGGGCACATAAAGGTGGG